TAATCTTTAATGAATGCATTTTTCCATGAGAAATGACCGTCAGTGGCGTACCTCTTGAAAGACATTATTGTTAAGACTTTCTAATGAAAAGAACAGCACAGTGAACCAACAGTGTAATCATTCGATTATTTTCTTCTTTTGTCTCATATCTATGAACAACTTGAGTCAGAATTGGTATGCATTACTATGTGCTATTCTTCAGTATACATGATCAGAGAAATAGACGAATCGCTATGCAGAAAAATCCATATAATGAAAGTAGACCCTGTATTATATTGCGATGCTGTTAGATTGCTAGTTAATGCAACGCTATATCTTGTCTGTTGCTTTTATGACTTTCTTGGAATAATACGAATTGTGCTATTGCTATTTATCTATCAGTTGATGCGCGTGATGGGAATCCATGGTCTCTTACAATGACGCCTCCATAGAAGCACAGATCAATACGGTTTGTATCTTGCATCGATGCATCTGCTGTTAGATTTGGAGTAGGTAGGTTTTTTTCTTATCAGAACTGGTAGAAACGGTCGAACCAGACCTCATCGACATTTATGATGGTATTGATCATTCTTCGTTTTGCTGATCCTACAACTGCCAAATCAATCAGTTGGGTAGTCATATTTACGTCTTATCGACTGCAGAAATGATACAACAGTCCGTTTTAAGTGCCGTCTATCATTTGCATAAAAATCTTCTTTTGTTTCTGAGTGTCTATTTATGAATAGAAATCCTTGTTGAACTCAAGGTTCTATATCAGCTTTCCACATTCATTAATAGTTTATCAGACAAGTGGGATTTTACTCAATTGTACATTTGATCTACTGTTCATATTGTATTCACTGTGTGATCTCGTGTCTGTGCGATGCATACTCTATAAAGAGTAGAGGAAATATGAGCACATTTTTTGATAAATTACAGTGCTACACACATATTCACTTTTGTTTTAACGATATAACTTGATATGAGAATGGATCAATAATAGAGTTTTACTGTCAATAGTAAGAAGAACAAAAAAATCTCTTTTTAACCAACTAAATATGCTTCATCATGCCATATGTGTCAAAGTTTCTTCCGGATGTCTTGCATTCTAATCTGTAGAGGAGTTTCATAAACCTCCTTTACCGTTTGTTTCATCCTACAAGTCAATTAATCCAAAATTTTGACTTATCCATTGTTTTCATATACCTTTTGGATCAACATGGCTCACACAGCTTCAGTGTGTTGTGCTTATGATATCTTTGGTAGATTGTTTTCATGCGATACAAAAGATATTTTTTCTCGTGTTAACCATCCATCTACAATTTTAGAGTAAAGCACTTTTGCTAAAACAGGCCAAAATCTCAAATTTTCATCTTTATGATATTTTCGAAAAATGAAATTAGTCTTTTAAGTATACGTTCATTTCAGTACACATCTTGCTGAACTTTATGATTGCGTTGGTGAACATTTATAATCCGACACTCCTTTCAATGACATGGGTATCTAAATTATGATTTTCGATTCAATTTTCTTTTTGTTTTTGAATTCAATGTCAAGAAACCATAAGTATAGTTATATTATTGATTCACAGCAGCATTACTATTATTTAATGTAATATACTTTTCATCAGCTATAATAATATTGGAACCCGGAGAAATC